TTCTCACCACGCTCACAGATGTTTTCTCTGTGTATCTGATTTTCCTTCTTTCGCAAAAACCGAGACACAAATTTCAAATCCTGTGGGTACCTCGTGGATTTCCACAGCAGAGTAATCCCACTTACTCGTATTACCTACATATTTTTTATCCTCTTCTCTTTTGGGAAGGTAGGACTAATGTTCATTATGCTGTTACTGTACTGATGATTTTGTCATAAACTTTTGATTAAAGGTCCCATCAGGTGGGAGAAAATCCCTAACGAATCAAAGAAAAATGATATGTCAAGGGCGTGGTTCACAGCAAAAGAGGACTCCATTCATATCAAAACCATGACGTTCTGTTTCTGGTGCGTATATTGTCGTCGTGGGGCACCAAGAAAGAAAAGAGCCACAGTGTTTGCCAGTAAACCGAATCCCAGACGTGATCTCATTTTTTTCAGATTCTACATTTACAGTGACAACAAGGATTCTACGAAGGTAAGTAATTGTTTAAGAAGGAGTTTATTTTGGTTTGAACGCAAGGCATCCACCAAATGCAACCGACTGTGTCAATCTGTTGTTTTTAACAGAAGTGTTCTTTCCAATATTTTACCCACATACAGTGTATGATACAAGTGAGTCATTTCCACTGATAACTGGCTTTAGCTTCCGCTACTAACGATTTAATATCACATCATATCATGATCATTGGTTTATCCATGAGATCCTTTTAAGTAATGTACAGGGCACTTCTATGTTACATATCTATTATGGTTACGTTATCCATCTTGAATACAAATCTGCACATATGATTGGTTATCTTTTACCATGAGGTACATATTCCTCCTCTCTGATTAGCTGTGCGCCATATTTGCTTCCCTTCATTCATGTATATTATTCCCATGCTTATGTGCTTGACCACTATATCACTGACGAGTAATTTTGCGACTTGGCTCTGACGCTCTACGGTGAGATGAAAGCACGAGTATGTACATAGTAGTCTATTGGCCTTTTATTGCTGGAGCTTAACCTACTTTCATGGAAAGTAAGTGACAAGGAGTGTTGTTACTCCTGTTGTGCGGATACGACCCAATTGTAGGCATCTACCCAAAAATTTGTAAATGTGCCAGTGTTGCAATGTGCTGTCACCCAGTCATATTCCTTTATTTGGTAAGTGAGCTGCATTTGTCTAACAAAATACTAAAAACAAGGTCTCGTCTGAAATTCAAAGAATAAAATTAATTCATCTGGTCACTCTTGTTATTGCTCGATGCACCACCTAGCTGATCCATATACTTTGCCTTTACAAGCGAGTAAAGACGCAAGATAGAGAGCAGTTTCCTGATTCATGGAAAGGAATGGAGAAACCCTTCAAAATGTACAACAACAGCAAAAACATAACTGTGAAACTTATGGTGGATCCTGAGAAGGGCTGGGAATTAGACGAGACACCTGGTGAGCAGGTAAGGAAAACAACATGGGGTTGGGCTCAGTAATGTGTCACAATGAAACATTTTTATCCCTGATAGCCTGAACTGAGGTTTAATAGGCCCTTTGTGGTTGGTCGACAATCCTCCACTCAATACACATTGTAATAAAAAGAAATCTAGTAATTGATGTTTAATAAGTTACTTGAAAGTCCCTCCCTCTCTCCCCAAACAACATCAGCACCAGGCAACATTGGGATGGAGGGAGATAGTAAGAAGTAGAGTGTGCCAAAACTTTTGCCACTCACTATACTTACTTTGCATAATGCTAAGAAACCCCTGAGTTGTAGATTATGTGGCCTTCTGGTTACCTCTAAAAGTAGCTGTCTAAACAATGCACTTTAAAGAACCTCTTATTTTTTGTGCATTTTTATTAAAAGCGTTCTACTCCAATTGATGCAATGTAGTACTCAATCCGTGATCTGTTGTAGGTGTACATCTACGATGATTCCCACGGCGGTAGATTTCGCTATAAAGATGCATGTGCTTTTGCAGTAAAACCAGTGAAAGGTCGAGAAGTAGAAGAATTCTCTTGTAGTCTATCGTTTCAGCAAGAGGGCCATGATACAGAACATGCAATCTACTTGAACCCTGGCTTTTCACTTGTGGAGGTAATACTGAATGTAGCTAACACGATCTGTTTGCCTAAAGCCAATGAGATAGTTTACAGTTTTCTTTGAAAAAAAAAGGAAGAAAGAGAAACGAACAAGAAAGGACAAAAAACAAAATCAAACCGAATCTAATGTAACTTTCAGCTCAAATTTTTCTGTAAAGTTACAGTCACCACTCACTTTCTTCGACCTTATCAGCTTAGCCGGGCCAATGAAGGTCGATCTAAGTGTAAAATATATATTTTGCTAATTATAAGCCTCCTACCTCATATTTGCCCTTCCAGTTATAAGCCTGTATGTGTTTACTCAAAACCACTAGTCTACCTCATGATATCACTGGCCTGGACTGTATATCTAGTTCTCAGCGTAGTCGTAAGCCGAGCTTTTGATTTGTTGGCCCATTAATGTAGTCATTTATAGACATTTTTAGGGGGGGAAAATGAAGTTTTGTAAATATGTATCTTTAACTTTATTGCACGTTTAATCAGCTGTCATTATTAACGAGAATTTTCATTTTCTGTACAATGCATTATGTATTTTGCACTACGCAAATTCTAATTATTATTATTTCTAATTCTAATCATTATTATTATTATTATTATTATTATTATTATCAACCTAACTTTATATTCTCTAATAAGCTTGCCCGGTTAAATTGACATCGACAAAATAACCACAAAATCTAGTGAAGATAATAAATATCATAAAGGCGGAAAGCCTTGATTAACCTTGCAAAGTATAGCTATTGAGTTCCAAGCCTGAAACTTTTATTTTTATTTTCCATTAAAAATAATTATCAAATACCTTATTCGTACTTAATCTCACGGGTACATAATTTCGCGTTATTCGTGATTATAAAAAATCGCGAAATCGAAGACTCCGGAATAAAAATGCTCGTGGGATTTAAACAGGCAGACTTTAATACCCACATAGCAAACTCAAGTAAAAAAAATGATTAACATGTAATAAGAGCAACATACACGACATGTATCGACATATACGAAAATTGTCAACTAGTTTTACCGGTAAGTTCCACTGTGTATCTCGTGTAATGCATGTTATGTAATGTATCTTGTGTAATGTTAATCTCAAAAATCTATACTAATTCCTGATATCTATCATGCAGTCTTCGAAATTGCCATTAACTTGCTTCGAGTAGTTCTCATTTTCAACTTTCAATTAAAGTTCCAAAACTTATTCCGGTTTATCTTGGAATTTCAGAAAGTTCAGACATTTTGAAATTGAAATGAAGTTAACAACGCCAGAATCGCAAAATTCAATGTCCTATTTTTATATTTTCCTGTTGAAATCGAGAAAATAAATTCCCGCGAAATACTGTCTCGCCAAAATCGCGACGTTAAGCATCCGCAGATTAAGTAAGAATAAGGTATATCAAACATTCATGTTAGTCTAAAAAGGTATTTCTTTGTTCTACCGGTAACCCTTTTGAATATTGAAATGGTGTAATTCAGTATTCATGACCATGATTTTCCGGTATCCGAGCGATTTTGCAACTTTCAATTGCTCTCTCCATTTTAGAAGTCGGTCGAGCCCGCAAATGCTTGTACGCATTTCAACAGCGCAGCTGGATGCTCGACTTCCTCAGCCCCAGCGGAAAGTGACAGGCGCAGCTCAGACGAACAACCAAAAACTCCTCGAGGTATCTTCGTGATCGTCATCGTAGCTATAGTTTCATAAGAAACTTTAGTTAAATCTAGAAATTAACACCTCCTACGAATAAGCTTGTCTTTGTCTTATTGCCGGAGTAGTCGGGCTTTTCTCTCAAGAACTTGCTTCAATCTTTTAAACTCTCTGTTAAGAATAATAAAGTTTTTGTGCTCTTTCTCCTTCGATGGTTTTTTTTTCTTTTTTTTTGCATTCTCCTTCAAACTCTGAATGGAACGTTATTACTTTCTTTTCACTTGTCCGCTATTAAATTTTTTTGCGCTTTCACGACTTCCCTGTCAATCAAGTTCATTCTAACATTTTGCACTCAATTTCAATTTCCTGCACAGTTTGGTATTGATTCACATGTTCTTTGCTAGTCAGCATGCCGAAATTTTTGCATGTATAAAATAAATATAGGAATTACAATTTGATTTTGCAAATTGATAAACCTGATTCCATTTGCAAATTTTTTTTAGGTTTGAATAAATCACGGTCGGTTAATTTTTCGCCCACCCATTTTTTGGCCCACTCCCCACCCCAACCAAAGTTTTAATCAGTGTTCCGCCTCGCCCCCCTCCCATCTCCAGTTTCCACGAAAGAGTGCTGAGCGGAAAAAATATATTGTTGAGTTAAACTCATTTAACTTCCGTACATAATGAAGACAAAATTCCCCTTATAATGTCAATACAAAATCAACCACATTAGTGATGAATAAAGAAAAATATAACTTATAGGATTATTAGTTAATGCGATACATAATTCTCAACAGTAATATCATCATAATTTTATGGAAGACAGTTAGGAAAGTTTCCAATTAGATCTTGGGAGTAAAAGGGTTAAACCATTGTGCTCCGCTCACCTATTAGAAGACGTTCTTTACGGGCAGATGCCTCGAATTGGGAAATATTCATTCCGCACCTTCCCTATTTTTGGTGTGAGCACACTCCATCCTGAAATATGCGCTCCAGTCGTTAATAAAACCATTGACACTTATTCAAACGCTATCATATATAATGTTAGAGAGGGTTTTTGAAATACAGTCCCTAATCAACAAATATATTACGTTTTGCTGTGGCCGGTCTGTTTAGTCATAGATCACATATGAAGTCAAAATGAGGCAAAGACAATTAAAAAGATACACGGGGCACAGCCGAGTGTCTCGCTGATGTTGTTACCATATTCTGTGATCTTTTCTTGTGCAGACCTACCGCAAAGTATAATTTATTTGTTCACACGGTGAGACAGAAAAATCTTGTTGATGGTAGCGTCTTCTAAGCATCTGTCTTCCAATAGATCCTAAGGAACAAGCAATCAAAATGCGTCAATAATTTAGCTTATCGTGTAACATGAATTATCTCCATATTCTCTCTTTGTTGCAGATTCGAAGCTCCTCAGCAGCTTGCTGGATAATAGGTCATTTTTAAAGAAAGTATGTGACCGTTTGGACAGAGAAATGAAGAACTATGGAGACTATCGCGATGTTTGTTCACATTATGGTTTTGACAGGTATGAAGTGGCCGCAAATTTTGCAAAACATGATGCCGGACCATCAACAGCCCTATTAGAATACTTGGCAGTTAAATATCCAAAGCTAACAGTTGATGAGTTTGCAAGTGTGTTGAAAAACGTTACACAGAGAAATGACGTTGTCGAGAGTTTAGAGGAATATGATAACGAGTAAAAACCATTTTAAAGGAGTGTCATTTTGAAGTAATTTTGAAGTAATTTAGAAGTGTGTATAATCCTTGTAAAGAAAAGCTGGATAACTTGTGTACAGTCATTCCAAAAAATATAAAAATCCACAGCATAGTCAATTTAATAAAAGTAAACAATGACATGCAAAAAGAGAAGGTGAGAAAATCTTGTAGTAAATAGTGCTATACAATATTCCTCAAGGGTATACCTCGCCTGGGATATACCTCCATTATAAACCTCAAGAGTACCCGCTCGGCGCTTTCATAGATTGCATATGCCTAACAGCTTTCAATTTTGCATACAAATTGCAACTAGAATGAGGGAACACAATAACAACTTTATGTAAATACGCTTTGAAAAACGTAGATTATGGTACAGTATTTTGTTTGTAATGTAGTTAAGTTTAGTGAGTGGCATGAACACAAATATTGTGAGGTAATAAGGTTTGAATTTTGCAATAGTTCTGAAAAGTAGTAAAGTATTTACAACCACTTTTTTTTAATGTGTTTGTTTTGAATAAGTGCCTAGACAGGTAAAGGAGGGCATCCTGCATTGTACATGGAAGTTATCTGAGTGTAATTTAATAGAGTTATGCAACTAAATAAATGGCTTAGTCCATGTATGTTTTTTTAAAAACCAAGTTAGTTCTATATTCTTTTCTAGCTCTCTTGTTACACTGATTGAATCAGTTTTCAAATGGTCATTTTGCACCGAACAAAATGTTATCGTAGGAATTTTAGTTTTAAGCATCGTTTATTGTCACTGTTATAGCAAAGGGCATTTCCTTTGCAAACGTTTAGGATAGTGGCTATGTTCATATGATTATGATAGTCTTGCCACAGGCAGACCAAACTCATGTGATATACCATCGTTTCCCGGCATCTTTTGGCCAGTTTTTTACGCGTTTGATTTAATAATTTCTAACGAATATAAGAATGGTCCACAGATAAAGAGAATTTATAACAGTAAATTAGAGAGCTTTTGATGTCATCGTGCTAAAATTATTAAGGTTATTAAGATCATCACCCACATCAGTCAGAGATTCAGATAGAATATTCAGCACCAAGGTATATCATGCAGTTGGTCAGTCCTAGATCTGATAGTTAATTCTCCCCTCTAACAGCTTCACAATTCATTTCTTCTAAATAATTATGAGAATTTACTTTTAGATCAAGATTATAGCTTGATAAGTTAAAGTTTTCTCATTACCTGTTTGCAGAATAATGTATGGATATTACAGGGAGAAGTTCCATGTTTATCACTTGAGGGAGTTAAAAGGTTAATTCAAACTGATGTTCTTAAGTATTAGCTTCTTTTATATCATTAGAATGAAATGTTTCTTTGCTTTGTGATTAAAATAAATTCTGACCTTTTCTGATGTTGAACACATATGCAAAACAGTTTGAAATATATTAAGGGGGTAAGGTTCTGATGAAACTGTGGTACTACATCGGTGGAAGAGTATAACTGGGTAATTTAGTATTACCAACCGAGTTGATAACATAGTTTGGCCACTGTAAAGAGTTTCAAAGCCGATGTTTCAGGCATTCACCTTTTGTCAGAGTTTGAAATATATGTTTGATGAGCCACAATAGGGTTGTTTCCCTTCTTCTCCCATCCCCGCCCCCCAAAAGGATAATTTTCCTCGTTTTTTTCATGTCGCTGACTCTTCACCTTTTCCACCCAGCCCTCCCCCCTTTCTTAACAAAGCACAGAACAGAACAAGCTGACTGTTTGTAAATGTTTGTACATTTAAACTTTAAGGCCACAAACCTGAAAGGTCATTTATCTCAACTACTGAAAAAGAAATGGCTATTGTTATGGTACATCAGGTTGGAGAGTTTGCCTTCCCAATGCAGAGTTGTAAACATCAACACAAACAAAATGTTACTCTGGGTTATCCTGCAGTTCTATCACATTTATTTTACCTCCCTGTCACAGATACTTTCTATGCTATGGTCAATAAGTTTAGTTTGCAGCTCATGTGTATACAGTGCTCTGCATGCATAAATTCATGAAGTAAATTTTTGTCAAAAAAATTTCACAGCCATAAGTTGCAAATGATCAACAATTAAAACTGGTGTAATCTTCTAATCAGGTAAAGCTACATTTCATTTGAAGGAACTTTGCAGCAATACTATCATAACCACCAATGTAAATGTTGATCAGCAGCAAAGGTGCACATCAAGGCAGACAGGAAAGTTAACAGCTAAAAAAATAATTGGATCAATGCCACTATTTAAGTAACTACACATCTAGCCCTCTCCTACTAAAAAAAATACCTAGTTTGTCATCACTTGACTGCTGTTGGGTTAGGGGAAGAGTAAGTGCAAAATTGCTCAGATACTGACATTGATCTGAAAAAAAGGAAAAAAAAGTAAGATGGAACATAAATATGGTATCTCAATAACTGAGGCACTCACTGCACATCTTCCCCTCTTCAAATGACCTAACCCAACATTAACCCAATTTTATCACTTGACTGTTGTTGGGTTAGGGAAGGCTTGAGAAAGTGCACTGTTCCACAAATACTAACATTGATCCAAAATCATTAACAAGAACGCAGATAAATCAGCTGAAGGCTTCTATCACTTCTTACAATGGCCTTCAGGGCTTGACTTTAGCTTTAAAGTTCTGCTAATGAAGCATTGCATTAGAAAAAAAAACAAAAGAGGTCCTCTGTGTTATGTGTCTTGATTAAAATGCTCTCTATGTCTTGACTTCTTCTCCATTAACACGTCTGACAACACTTCCATTGGCATTTTCGGTAGAATCCTTCCACTGGTGAGCAGATGTTTCTGTTTCACTACTGACAGCCGCTGAAGAGAATTTTAACGATCTTGGCTCCGAACTTGATTCCTCCGTAGCTTCTTGTGACTGGGCTTTATCGCTAGACTTGGAAAACACGGCTGAAATTTTCCTGGCCACATAGCGCCCAGCTGTAACAAAATAGGGAAAAGCTGACTTGAGATTGAAGTATTTTACGAGCAACGATCGTATTCGATTTGTCTTGCATGGAATCATTGACTCTTTTAAGGACCTTTGTGACTGTTTTCGTCTCGTTTCTTTTTTTTTTTTTTCACATACCTTGGTAATATTGTTGTGAGATTGCTACTGCCATGATGTCATAAAACTTATTCTTCGCAAAAATACGGAAAGCTTGATTACGCAACGAAGTCATCGTTTGAATCCGAATTATATATCTTCGTATATCAAAGTAACTTCCCCCCCAAATAAACTTATCTGGGTTAAAATGATTTGAATAAACTCTTATGAACATCTCACCGTTAATAATTAGTCACACCATCCTTCAGAAGAGTAGCTTTTTACAAGAAATTCCACACAAATACTGTTCGTCTGCTTTGTTTGATAATTTAGCGAATTTTGTTGTCGTGCCTTGGTAACCACTCGATTTTAGACTGAGAACCTCAACGATGCGCGGTCACCTACGGACGTTATGGGGCCTTGGAAGAGTTTCTTTCTCAGAGGAAACAGAGCCCGAAATTGCGGAAATAAACGCTCAGAGCAAAACGTTTTAGGCTCCATGTTATATGTGCAATACAAAGAACGGGTTTTGTCCGTTAACTCGTTTTAGCACGCAAACTTACAGATGCGAACAGTGGTCGGTTGAAACAAACAATCTCATTAGCTAAAGGCAAGTATGCTGCATCGGAGTGGGTATTACAATATATTTTGGCTTAATCAACTAATTTTATAATGTAAATTGGCTACCGTCAAGAATTTCTTAACCTGACGTTTTTGAACGTTAGCCCTTCGTCAGAGTGAAATCAAGAGGGGCGAACGCTCGAAACGTTAGCCTTAAGAAACTCTTCACGGTGGCCAATCTACATTATCGACTCAGCTGATAAAACCAAATTAAATTATCTTAGCGAAGTAGAAAACGTTTGAGACTCGACACTTTGATCCAAAGATAGGTTTTTTTTTTCCTCTGTTGTTGTTTTCTTGTTTAAGTTTCTTTTCTTTTATTTTCTTTCTTTTTTTTATTTTTGCTTTACTTAGTTTTTCTTTTTTGTCTCAAGGAAATACCAGATTAAAGGTAGTAATAATTAATAGGCTAACGACCCACTTGAAATTTCTGCACTGCGATAAAAAGATATTGATACCTTAAATAAAACCACTGACGCAAAATCGATAGACTGTTTGTCTTAGTCAACTATCGATAACGGGCAAAAATAAGCATCCCTAAGATAAACAAATAACAAAACAAACAATCAAACAAACTACAAAACCAGATATGAGACGGATATAACCAAATTTAAATATTTTTTTATTAGAGATATTTTAAAGGAAATTTAAGGAGGCAAATACATTTTCCAGTTTGTTTTATGAATTTTTTTTTCTTTTCACATAACGGGAATAAACATATCTTATAAATAATATTAACAAAAACCTTAGCCAGCCAAAGAGCTTCTGTCAGGATAGGTAATACTTGAAAGTTTGACAAAGTGTTAACTTAACATCTATCGACGACAAAAAACCACAACACTACGATTCAGATATTTTTCTTGCGACTTGAGAATTAACTCAACCTAGAAGTCAAGAATGGAGTAAATAAATGAGAATTCTTCATTCAATTTTAAAATAAATTAATGTTTTCCATAAAACCATATTTCTCGCCTGTAAATGAATTTTGAAAACATTCTAAATTACTCGAAACCGATGCACAAGTAGACAAAACCAAGTAATTTCTAAGACATCACAACAAAATATTCAATTAACATGTAGTTTGCTATGCGATGTCAATCTCGTCTTCAGAGCCTGCTTATCTTTTGGCCAGCACCGAGAGTGCAATCTAACACATGACCAAAAGGGACCAACGAGAACGCGAATAAAGTATATTGCTAAATTACTGAGAGCGCATGCCCCTGTCTGTTTGCTTTTTGCTCTGTGTATTTCCAATTTTTTTCGCCTCACACGCTAAACGGCGCATTAAAATCAGAGGCAGCAAGTAATGATATTTACAAGTTATCTGTGATTTGATCACAAAAGAAGAAGAAAGCATTTCCGCTACACACAACGCCCACGACGCTGGTAAGCTTTTAACATCCATTTCATTCCTTATTTAGCTTGATCTTCTTAAGGGGAGGAGTGTCAACCGATAGAGTACTTGCAGTAGGAGACATAATGTTAGTTGGGAGCTCCTGTTGACATCTGGTGGTGCTTTGGTAATGCGTCATAAATGGTGACGCCACTTCCCAGATCTGCAAGTGGAAAAGACAAAAAGTCAGTTTTACATGCCTCGGAAGGTTCTCTTTACCATTTAGTAGACGACGCTTCTAGTCATAGCTACACCCTTGTAAATACCTTTCGGAGACATATGAAATTCGAAGGGGAAATGGTATACAGCATATGAGGACCATATTACAGCCGTGAATTCAGTGTCAGTAACACGTTTTAGTCGATCCGATCAACTACGCTCAGCACACTGTTCGAATACAATTCCGTATGAGAAATCCTTACAAACAAGCAAGTGTCCTTGTTTGTAACCTTGAAAATTGCCACAATATCCGTAATGGTTCCGTGATGTTCTATTCCTTCGATATGAATCTAGTTAAATGATCCTCATTCGAAAAATAAAGGCGAAAATATCAAGTGATAAAAACACATGTGCGCCGAGGTTTGACCTAGTGTCGAATGACAAACCCTCGGCAGAGACTAGGCCTAGTGCCAGGAAACCTAACATTTACAGCACATGAGGACCATCGCTTATTCATGATCAATGATAGTTTTTTTTCTTTTTTTTGAGGAAAAACAACAACAACAAAAAACAAACGAACTAATCAACCTACCAAAAACAAACGCACGAAAAAATGATCAAACTATGTGCGATGTTTGATTCGGGCTTTGCCCTTATCAACAATCTCGCAATAGAAATCTAAAGCCCATAATCTAATTGTTAAGTAGAGAAGCGTTGTCAATAAGATTGTGATAGGACGCTGGTGGATGCATACCAACTGCTTTCATCCTTGAGTCAATCACTGAGTCACCATAGAGCCCGTTTGTTTTCAGTCTGCAATAGAATAAACTTTTGCACATACCTTTCCTTTCTTCACAAGCTTCAACACAGCCTCTATGTCGGGCGCCATGAAACGGTCTTTGTCCCACGGCCTGAAAAAAAAGAAAAAAATTGTTTACCTGGAGAATGGTGTAGAGATGTCGTGGGAAACTTCAACCAATCGTGACTTAAATTGTTGGCTTTTGCCATTGACACGTAGCTTGAGTATTTCACTTTGTTCTAATTTAACGTTGTAATTATTTTCTTTTTGGTCTCAGGATTCAAGGTAGAGATGCACTTTAAAGTAAATTGAATAAAACTTACTTTACAACTTTCCGAACCAATGAGTGAACAGCTTCTAATGGTTCTGTTGTCTTCAATGGCCGCAAAAACTCGATTCCTTGACAAGCCGCTAACAATTCAATAGCAAGGACTGAAAAAAGCAAAAAACAGCAACAATGGCAGGGTTTATCAAAATAATACTGATGATATAATAATAATAATAATAATCTTAATAATCTCAAACACTTGCATTTTGATATGCGATGCTCTACCAAATATGGCTGCTGACAGCACGTAAAATTTGTAGCGCTTCAAATTTTACTAGAAGCGCAGGAAACCAAGACACGCACTTTACCATTTTTTTCGCGGATTGTGATCCTTTTTCTTTTCAATCATTAATAAAGTTTATTTTTTTTATGTCAATACAGGCCCATAGTGTTTGTATACTAAATAGAACAAAATGTATCTTCTTTCCCTTCTCGAGTTCAACTCAAAGGGTTTTTCCAAAGTTACGAGTGCCCATTGATTATTCTATAGTTCATTTATTACGTAAGGATCGAAGACGTGGTTGTTAGAGCAACATTCTACATTTGGGAACAACATTCCCTTCGCTTTTCAGCAAACACAGTATCATAGCTGCCACTACGTTAATATCGCTATGCCATACATGGCGATCAGCGGTTTCCTTTCTCTCGAAATGCATTGTGCGAGACATCCACAACATTCGCACCTTTTTCAACATTTTTAACCACGTTAAGAGCTTTTCTGGCGGAAAATCCTCCCATAGACACGTGATCCTCTTGGGCAGCAGATGTGGACAACGAATCAACTGAGGAGGGGTGGCAAAGGACTTTATTCTCTGAAACTAAAAGAACTCAGAAGTCAACCAAATAAAAAATATATATATATTTATAAAAAAAAAACAAAGTTATCATTAAACTTGTTTAGAAACATATCTCCCACCTAAAGATGCAGCCGTACAGTGTGCCATCATGAAACCTAAGGGGGGTAAATCAAAAATTGAACACACAGTAAGACTAATGAAATTACTGGTAGTGATACTAACGTTGATAATAATAGCCATAACACTAATACTAATAACAATAATAATGATAATGATATTGATAATAATAGTAATGACGGTGATAATGACAATAATGATACAATAAACTTATGGCGAAAAATCTTTCTCTGTGGCTGCCCGACACTATGGAATGTTTTGCTATATGACGTTTAAAATGGTGCGTCAGTGTCCGTTTTTAAAAAAAAGACGTCTCTTTTTAAAAAGGCCTTTCGTAGTTACTTTAAGATTGTCTCTTTTCAGGAGTTTTAATAATTTCGATTTCGCTGGTGTTGTAATAAATCTTTTATTTATTGTTTATATAATAATGATGTAATCCATATTAATAACCATACTGATATTGATAATGACAATGAGAATAATTATAATACTTGTTAGTATTATTATTTCTTATTATTATAACTTCCATCAAAGCAATAACAATAACCAAATCAATAAAACAAACAATAACGACCCAAGTTATGAATTATGAGATCCACTGTCGTCTGAAAGTCTATATAGTGATGCCATCTTCCCTATTTATTTTATCTCACCCCATTTAAATAGTTTTTACCAGTTTTTCAGTCTATCAGTCAGTTGAATCACTAATAGCTTTTGTCAGCAAGTCAGGTGATCTATCAGTCGTTCAGTCTGTCAGACTTTCCAGTGTTCTATTCCTTCGTCAGCCGGTCGGTCCAGCTATCTCTTACGAGATATGATGCAGTTTAGAAAATATTACCGGAATTGAAACCTCCTTCCTTAACAAGAAATGCTGGGAGCTCACTCAGGGCTGCAAAGACAAAAAAAATCGTATACAGCAACGTTCCGAAGTGATATAATATAGTTTTACAGGATTCGTACCCTTTTTCAGAATCAAATTTCAAGGACTTTTACAGGACTCCACATCTCACTTAAACCCTTTCATTCCCAAGATTTCAAAAACAACTCTCCAGATGGTCTACATACATTTCTTACAACATAATTTCTGAAACCTTTATTGCTTGATTTGAGTAGATTTCCAGGACTTTCCCGGACCTGTAGTCTTTTTCCAGGAAAATGGAAAATATCGAAATAAGATTCCAGGACTTTCCAGGTTTTCCTTGACCAGTAAGAAACCCTGATTACAGGAAATACTCTCGCCATTCGTGAAGACAAATATAAGTGCATAGAAAAAGCGCGCGTTTCTTGTTTGTTCAATCTTATGAGTGCACCTTACTTTGCACGGTACGAAAGTAAGGAAGTTGGATGATAGAAATCGGACAGGAACTTGAAAATTGAAATATTCCTTTGTATAAAGTATACTGACAATCAAATTAAAAAAAAAACGAAAAAAAAGCTAATATATTTTGTCACCGAAGCCTAACCTTTCAAACGATGAATATAGATTATTCCATGATAAGTGCGCACGAAAGATTTCTATTCACTAGTAGGGATACATCAAAGAAACGAACGGGTGAGTTTTTCGATACATCGCAACGAGGAAATAAAATCGCTAAAGCACTTTCCACGATATCATGTATTAATTTCAGACGTACTAGGATTTTTTTCCCATTTCAACTCTCAAAGATTGGAAGTGAACAAATGTGAAAATGCTACGTTCGTCCAATCAGAGACAACAACGATAGCACTTCACAGTGTAAATCTTAGTATGTATGAAATAGTAACGTTTTCCACACTTTCAGCAAGACAACATGAGGTTAGTGACATGAGGTTAATTCTTGAAATTCCATAAAAAGAGAAACTGAATCGAAACGACTGTTATCCTTAAACTCCCAAAAACAGTTTCACTTGCAATTCTTACCTGGATTTACGAGTCGTTCTATTCTCCTTTCACTCATGTTAGCCAACTCATGGACACCTATTGCCAGATAATCTAACACCTAGTCGACGAAAATAATAATAATAATAATAATAATAATAATAATAATGATACTGCCACATAATAATAATAATAACTAAGCTATACGTATTCAAAAAAGTGTTTTTTTGTTTGGGTAGTTCGTAAGTTGGATAATTTGTTTGTTTGTTTTTTGCATCGATACAAGGCATGAAGTATGGCCGAGAAGGGATTGAGACGAGACGAGACAAGAACGAGACAGGATATGTTACCCCCAGTCTCCTTAGGCCCATACCATAACTTCGCATCAACAACAACAACAAAAAAACAATTGAATCAAAACATGGGAAAAAAAGTACAAGCACCACGAAACAAACGAAAACAACGGCAAATTTAAAAAAAATCACGCAAAAAGACTTTAAATAGAGCACAACTAAAATCTGTGTACAAGTCAGACAAAAGTATAAAACAAACAAAGGACATTTCAGATGATACCTTGGCCGGATATTCACCATGAAAGTTTCCGCAGGACAAGATCTCGCCCCGATCAGCAAAGACAATCTAATCAACATGAATTAAGTTTATAACTTGAAATAGTTTGATTTTGCCACATTCAAAACTTTTCAGGTCGATATCAGTATTTGAAAAACTGCGCACCTACCCCTCCTCCAACACAACAGCAACCTTAACTCGTATTTGGTTTTTGTATTCTCAAGCATCTAAAGGCCTCTACACTCGTTGCGTGCCTATAAAGACGACTTTACTAATTGAAGGATACTGGGTTGTCTGTGGCACTGTTCATTTCTGTTGTGATCACATCCTGTACGAAATCGATGGTGTCATTCACGATCCCATGGACCTACAGAATAAACGAAAAATGACGCGTTAGAGGAAATAAGTTTCAGACATTTCCAGTAAGTAGTCTTATGTATTGTTTACACTTGGAAATGTCGGAATTCTCATGCACCAAACTCAGGCCCATCGACCTCAAAAAGATGTGAAAAAACCATTCATTGGCGTTGATATTTAGAATTTTCGTCTTATTTTGCATATTGGCACCGTTAATATTCCTTTATTTATGTATCATTGCAATGATAAAGCGCGAAATAATTCAGTGAAAATGACTAAGGAATCTAAGGGTAAAGCCTCGTACCTGCGGACAGCAGCGTAAAGTGTACGCGTCCTGGACGCGGTTGCAAAACCTGTGACTCTCTAATAAAATAAGATAAGCATGAATGACTCACTTGTTAGTAGACGAGGATGAAACATAATGTATCATTATGGTCATTTACAGGCCTAACAGGTCGGCCAAAAGAAAGAACACCCTAGGGCTTGGACTAATGCGCCGATATTACCCAGATCTTGACGAAACTGATCTCTAGTTTTCCGTTTAACGTTTGGCTGTGCGGTAGGAAACTGAATCGAGGAAATGATTTCAACTTTTACTTGAGAACTCATTGGGAGAAATATTTTAAAACGAAAATCTAATCTTTTTTAACAATTATTTCTATGAAGTCTGGCCCAATTTTTCTGGCATTTGTCCAGGGAAACCGAACAAGGGTTGTTGCTCATCAGTTTGAACCAGCAAATTCACGAAATAAACGCGAGGTCTGTACTTGCCTGCAATCTCTGACGGATACACACTTGAATGAAGAAGAGAGCGCAGTCTCTCTGCGACACGACGCTGGCCAACGTGTGGGCGCACTTGTTGGATTACTGAAGATTTAAGATAAATTGATCGTAGCAATTTCATGCTGAATTTGCTGTTAGATAATTTTTTTCATTCTTTAAAGTAGCATGTACGAAATGTACGAACGACCTCAATAAAGTAGAATGCGAGTCAGATTTTTGTGAACTGAGAACTGGAACGAGGTCCTGTTAGAATTTGCATAATTAGATTTTCAAATGCTTTCTTCTATGATTTTCCTCTCATAGCTCAGATCCCGTTTATTTCCATTTACTATCTCCTCACGACAGCCAACAATATTAAAAAAAATCTCTAATCCTTCTCATATTCTCCTACTTCACAACTCCAATGTCAGTTTCTGAGGAATGGCGCACATACCCCTCTCTTAACCCAACATTAACCCTTACTTGATATCATTTGACTGTTTTTAGACTAAGGGAGGTGCAGGTGCGTAGTTGCTCAGATAGTGACATTGACCTGATACCGTTACGTCAAGACTCACAAAATATTTGTAGTATTGACACGATAAATCATTCAACTCAATCTGTCCTTGGTTTGAAGTATTATTATACTTACAAACATCAAAGGCTCGTGTAGTTCCCTTCAATACTTCAAGCGACATGGCGGCAATTATGTCGGCCTGCCTCGCAATCATTCGAGCACGTTCCACGGCTAAGTAAACATAAGAAAAAGAAATTTTGAAAATCATGTTAAATTTTTTTTGACAAGTCTCACTGTGCCAAAAATCTACATATTTGGCTAGATATATGATCAGGTCTTCGACTTATCTTGTTCTTTCCATAATCGTTCATAAGCGACCCAAGATATTCCAAGTTCGTTTCTTTAACTTTCCCCGATATTTAAATCACTGACGTAACTTTCACTTGACCGGCGAAATGTATTCAAATGTATTGAATACATTTTTGCGTTAGTCCACTCATTGATTGGCTTCAAAACGCGCGCAAACCTTTGGCTCGACCAATCAGACGCACATTAAAAGCGATCGCGACTTCGCCCCTCGCGTTTTTCCCCTTCTTTTAGTTCACATTGGCTCATTGCAATATCCTCCTTTAATTTCCTCTGATTGGCGAATGTGATTATTATAGCTTGGGTTTTAAATACTCAATCAATATGTGCCCTACGCGAGCGTGAACCTATTTCAGCTTGCAGTGGAACCTACAGCATTAAACATAACAACTGAGGGGGAAATAAGTGTTTACGAGATTTACCTTCAGCACCAAGAGACGTTATCAGCTGAGTACCGTTAATCAGAGCTAGTCCCTAAGGAGGAAAAAAAATATCAAACAAATTAACTTCTTTTTAAAGAGATATAATAATTATAAAACCATAATAACATACTTCTTTAGGTTGCAGCTGTAAACGCTCCAATCCATAAGCCTTTAGGACCTGCCACGACAACAACGTAACATTACTCCTTAATAACTCTGTTATAAAGACTTAATTAGTGCACAAAAATAAACTCGACATTAAGTGTGGCATTTCATTTCAAACACGGAAGAAGAAAAACCAATGAATGAGAAGTGCAAACGAAGTACTGTAGACGAATGTCAGGGTGTTTCAAATTACAGATGTGATAAAACTTAGTCAAGGGTGTAGATCTACGCCAGATATGAAACAAAGGCATCGCCCTCATACAGAAATTGCTTAGCTTCGACGCGTTCAAATGATAAAAAAGAAATTACTTATTATTATCATTGTTACCGTGGTAATTGCTATCATAAATATCATTATGATATGACTTCGACAAAAGGTGCTTTCTTATTGGTTAAACATCTCTCGTATATTTGCCTGTTTACCCATAGAAAACTGAAACATCCTTCGTCCTACCAAATGGCGCCAAAACGGAGCGAATTCCCAGATTTTAATTTGTAAAGG